CTCTCATTCTTCCTTATTAAGTGAGAATGGAGTCACCTTAAAATTTTGTCCTTTATACACGTGGATACGACTAAATACTCACGGTATCTTGAATTTCGATTAGATGAAGCTGCCCCTCATGAACCATGCATGTTGGACATTATGAAATAATAAAAAAGTGAGTAAATGAAACTATGTGAGGAAAAAAAAAACTTTTGTTTTACATTAAAACAATCAATTATATTTGTCTCTTTTAAGTTGGGTCCAAATGACCTAGATTTTGGAGGAGTTCTTGAGTCCAATATTGTGTAACTAAATGTTAGAGACAGGAGAAAAGAAAAACCTAGAGGGTGAATTAGCCTTCAATTTACTGCTAATAAAATCAATTCCATTTGGAGCTGATGTCCCAACTCATGTATGGTGTAACAAGTGTCATGGAAATATAAGATTTAGAGTAGTGTGAGTAGAGAGATACATACTTGTTGGGAAATCAGATGCTTCAAAACAGTTTCCCTTTCTACGGTTATATCCGGTTACCTAAGCCAATCACACAATACAAGAGAAAAATAGGGAAAAATAGAAAACGACACAAAGAATTTATACTGGTTCACCCCAACCGTTTATGGGCTATGTCTAATCTTTCGCTCGGATGCGAGTTCCACTATAATTAAAGATTGGATACAAAGCAGTCAAATATCTCCTCATATATTCATCCTCTAGAGGTCCCGAGATGTGTATTGAGGTTACACTGTCCACAGCCCACTCTGATGCCTGCTCTACAAATGTTATGCTAATCTCAATCTAGCTAGCAACACTTCAGCTGTCAAGTAGTTTGCGTCGAATCTTCCTTTTCTTCATCCTTCTTGAGTTTCCTGCAAAATCTGTTGATGTGTTACTTCTTATGGCAATAAAAACATTCTCCATCTCCACTGCTACTCCCACTGTCCTGATTGCGTCTCTGTTGTCTTTTCCCATATTTTATTTTTCCTTTTACCCTTGCTCTGAGCTACCAATGCTGATTTTATCCCCACTGGAAATGGATGCGGAATTCTTCTCACTCCCCTTTCTTCGAACCTCCTCAACAATTGCAGCGTCACAGATATATGAAAATTTCATACTCTTATCCCCAACAAGTTCGACACCGCCGTCTTCATCGTCTCCTAACTATCAAGCAAAGAAAACAGCAGTTTTACAGCCTTCACCTCGTTTGAAAAAGTAATCTGCATTGACTCTAGCTTGTTCATCAGATCAATGACCTTATTTATGTGGGAGTTCATTGAAGTACCCTCCTCCATGAGAATGTTGAAGTATCTCGTAAGAAGATACACTTTGCTGTTGACAGAAGGTTTTTCATACCTATCAGTCAAAGCCTTCATCAACCCCATTACTATTTTCTGGCTCGCTACGAGACTCGTCACGTTCATTGATAAACATAGTTTGATGATTGCTACTATTTGCCCATCCATCTTTGTCCAATCTTTATCTATTATCCCAGTGATCAGTCATTCTTTCAGGGTTTTATGAATCTTCTTGTACGTAAGAAGATCCATCAATTGCATCTTCCAAAACCCGAAGTTCTCCCCATCAAATTTTAACACCCCCCTCAAAGTAGTGATGTGACTTTTGGCTGGATCCCATGATACTACAACCTACAGCTCTGATACCACTTGTTGGGAAATTAGATGCTTCAAAACAATTTCTCTGGCCTTTTCCACAGTTATATCCACAAACCTAAGCCAATCACACAATACAAGATAAAAATAGGGGAAAGCATAAAACGACACAAAGAACTTATACTGGTTCACCCGACAGTTGATGGGCTACGTCCAGTCTTCCGCTCAGATGCGGGTTCCACTATAATCAAAGATTGGATACAAAGCACTCAAGTATCTCTCCAGATATTCATCCTCTAGAGGTCCCAACAAAAGCCGCCCTAGCTTTAAGTATTATAACACACTATACTTAGGTACAGGAATGAAAAAATCACAATAGAATCAAGATCTAATTATCCCGAATATGTTAATCTTGATCTATCCCAACGCTTCTGCCAATACCCTGAGCCTTTGCCTCAAAACTATCGTAAACTACTCCGAAAACGGCTCAAAATTCGTTGAGAAAAAACCTAAACTGAAGCTGTTGTATTTATAAAACATTGTAACAGCGCCATGGCGCGCTACCCATAGTGTCATATCGCTAGGGACTAAACAAAATGCCCACGCACACCATCAAGATAGCGTAGCATCTTGCCTCTTAGGCCCTTCTGGTCTGAATTAAACCCGCTTCTTCACCTGTTTTTCATTCCTTCTTCGTCCCAACGCGTTCCTAGCTCGTTCCCACACTTAGATTTGGTTCCACCAATCCCAACAATATTCTATTAGAGGACTGCACGAACAAATTCATGGACATGAACGACCTTGAGAACAAGAGTGCAAGACACACCACTTACTAAGGAAAACCTAGATACTAACTATTCTAGGTATGATCTTCTCATTTAGGCTACATAAAATTTAAAGACACAAGGAAAGGCCCCAATGACTTGAAAATGATGGACATGAACTAGATTACGGAATGCACATTGCTTTTTTTTCCCCTAGCTAATAATGTTTAGTACCTAAATTACCCATTCCAAAATAAAATTTTAGAAAAATATAATTGAAGAGTGATGAATGAAAATAAATAATAGAATTTACAATCGTCAAAATAATGATAATGGATCACTTAATATTGAGAATGATGAACACATGGATAACATCACTCCTCTTGATATGTAATAATCGCAATTAAAGCTAAGAATGTTGGTTTTATTTTACCTCTGTTCTAAAAATAAATAAATAAATAAATAATCATAATGAATTTGTTTTTAGATCAATAATTATTCATTAAAATAAAACTCATAAACTCCATGTAATGCACTAATAAACTCATGTAAGCAAAAAAAAATCTTAGGTTTTGAAGAGACAATCTGGTATATTTTATGAACTCATATCATATATTATACGTTGTATCAAAACTCACGCAACAAACATCTCGATTAAACTACTTTTTTATATTTTAAATAAGAGTAAGAAAGTTGGTAGAAATGATCAAACTTGATAATCCCCATAATAAAAAAGAGGAGAAATACCACTGGGCTAAAATTTTAGATGTCTTGTGATTTTTATTCTCATTGGTCAATTCACTGATTTTCTCATAAAAACTTTATATTTTGTATATCAAAATAATGCTTTCGTCTAAATTGTGCGTATTTGAATTAAAATTGTAGTCCAATTGCATGAGATCGTATCTTATAGATAATTGTATAAGTTTAGTTTTGCATATAATACTAAACTTCACATTTATAATATAAATATCTTAATATTGAAATGAAGTAAAGTTTTAAAGTAACTTTGTTTATCTCTCCACCTATCGATTAAAGAAAATTACTAAACCAAATCTATTTAAAAAGAAAAAAAATCGACATTCTTTATATTTAAAACGTGAAGAAACTATTGAACATTATCATGTTAAGAAGTATTAAGTAGCATATATAAATATTAAGATTTTTCTAATCAGAGTACATTTCTTAGAGAATAAATTTATACTCTCTTAAAGTAAATCAAATAATAGTTTAAGAACAATCAATATTAAAGGAAGGAAAACTAACGATCTCTGCTCTAATACTATTTTAAATATGTTAAATCACTCATGAATCCAAAAGTTTAAGTTTATGAATTAGCTTAGAGTATATTTAATCTATAATTTAACACTATGACTTGGATCTATTTAGTTAGGTTGCATGAGTTTTTTTTAGTACAACATGTAGGGTGGGGATCGAACTAACAACCTCTTGATCGGAGATATATGCTCGTCTGGGATTAATGCACTTCTAAAATTGTTCAAAATCAACAAAATACTCCAAAGTCAGTTACAATTAACCAAAATTGAATCACTTTAAGGTTTTAAATTCAAGAAGAAAGTATTAAATTTTCATCACTTTTAAGGTTTTAAATTCTAATTGATTCAACACACAAGTGTAAAATAAAATAAAATGAAGTAATCAGTCTCCAAAACAAATGAGTAATATATAATTTCTTACCATTGCATCACTTTTTCATGCAAGTATATGATTAAAGTCACAACTTATTCTTCCCACAAATTTTAAAACCCAACCCAACCAAGTTCATAGTCAAAGCCTTCCCTTTAAAGACAATTCTACTCTCAAAATTTATTGTCAAAACCAATTTAATTAGACAATTAGACAACTATAAAGAACCATTTCAAAACCAAGTTCAAAGTTTAGATCATATTAAACATAAATTATCTAATCTAAAGTTGAAGAGTTAAAATAAATATTTAACCCTAAAAAAATAATTTAAAGTTGAAGAGTTAGAATAAATATTTAAGCTTACAAATAATCTTTTCACACTTATAACTAGAAAATACATACGCTTTGTTTCCATTCTTATATAAAATAATAATAATAATAATAATAATAAATAAATAATAATCAAGTGTTTCCATTCCATTTCTTTCGACTCAAACTCAATATTAACTACAATATTTTGAAGACATTTTAACTAAAAGGACAATATGTAGCTTTGATCTCCAACTTTTATCAATCTTTTATTTTAATTTTTACATTTGTATCTACTTTCCTAATTTAACTATTAGATCTTATTTTTAGTTCTGTAACTTTGGTTAAATACTACATTTAGTCTCTAGTGACGCATTAATCTAAATAGAAACTATATAAAAATTTTGGATACCAAAATGGAAAAAGAAAGACAAAAACTTATAAACAAATTTAATATTATGCATTAAATATACAAAGGGAGTTTTTGTCGATTTAAACTCAACGCTTAAGACATCAATAATGAACAAAGTCGAAAGTTTAATCTCCCGTCTTCGTCTTCGTATAAAAGGGGTGTCTTTTTTTTTTATATATAATTTAGAATGATGTTGAAGAAAAGTTAATAAGGAAAAATGGAATAGATAATTGAATTGAAATTGGTGTTTGGCCAAAAAAGAAATGAGATTGAGTCTTGTTTACGCCAAACATGTCGTCCAATTCTATTCCTTCTCCTCCTTTGGTTTCCTTTCTTTCTCTATTCTTCTTCTTCTTCTTCAGAGCACCCATTACTATAAAGAACCTTCACTTTCCTTCTCACACTCCCACGCTTCTTCTTCTTCTTCTTCTTCTTCTTCTTCTTCTTTGATTTCCCCTTTCGCTTTTTCTTTCTTTCTCATGATTCTCCCCCGCTTTCTCCCACTATAAGAACTCCCCCCCTCCGTTTGCACGAGTTGCAGCAGATTGGTGGGTCTTATACAATTTCTTCTGCGGCGCCCATGGAGAAGATTAATTTTGTCAGAAATGGCGTCCTCCGGCTGCCGCCTGGCTTCCGATTCCACCCCACGGATGAAGAGCTTGTGGTTCAGTACTTGAAGCGGAAGGTGCTTTCGTGTCCGCTGCCGGCTTCGATCATCCCTGAGGTCGAGGTTTGCAAGGCCGATCCATGGGATTTGCCTGGTTCGTTTTGAGACTTCCATTTCTGTGCTTTTTCTTAAGATTGGGATTGTGGGTGTTGGGGTTCGTTTCTTGAAATTGGGGGATTTGGATTTTGTAGGGAATATGGAGCAGGAGAGGTATTTCTTCAGCACCAGAGAGGCCAAGTACCCGAATGGGAACAGATCAAACAGGGCCACGACTTCTGGGTATTGGAAAGCCACGGGGATTGACAAGCAAATCGTGGCTTCCAAGGGAAATCAAGTGGTGGGGATGAAGAAAACTCTGGTTTTCTACAAAGGGAAACCGCCCCATGGCTCCCGAACCGATTGGATTATGCACGAGTACCGCCTCGGCTGCCCGCCAACTGTTTGCTTTAATTCCTCACAGGAGAATACCTCGCTTCAGGTGATTTTCTTCTTTTCTATGCCATTCTTTTTAACAAAATCATTTAGAATTCAACACAACATCTTCCCTTTCCCAGCTTTAAAAGCTTAAATTATCCGCTTGAGCTTTTGAGTCTATTGGTAGCTTAAGTTCATCTAGAGCCAAGCCAACTAAAAGGAGGAAAGGATTGGTGGAGAGTCAAGTTCATCATCCTGTGTTTAAACTCTATTTCTTTCCCACAGATAATACTAATTTGGAGCTTTAAAACATGAACAAATGGTTGAATATATCAGTAAGCTTTTGGGTGTATCGGTGATTTAACAAGAAGTGTGTTCTTTGTTGGTGAATTTTTGCAGAGCTCTGTGGCTCCACCAATGGAGAATTGGGTTCTGTGTCGCATATTTCTGAAGAAAAGAAATGGGCAACAAAAGGAAGAAGAGAGAGACAGCAGAAAGGCAAGGATTGGGAAGCCTGTGTTTTATGACTTCATGAGAAAAGAGAGAGACTTGAATTTGGCTCCTTGTTGCTCCTCTTCAGGGTCTAGTGGGATCACAGAGATCTCTTCCAATGAATTGGATGACCACGAAGAAAGCAGCAGCTGCAACAGCTTCCCCTACTTCAGGAGAAAACCTTAAAACTTAAAAACAAGACAGCTCATTTTGTGTGTTTTGTTGTAGTGCAGTTGCAGTAAATTTCTGTGATTTCCCATGTCGGAAAATAACCATGAAAGGAAGAAATCCTAGTCCTAGTACTTGGTCCTGTAGTTTTTGGGGCTTCTTGTCTGTGTTCTTATCATTGACATATATCATCAGCCAAATGCCAAATGAGATCAAAAGAAACTGAATCGGCGTTTTAACTTGTTCTTAGTCACCCAGAGAAAGAAAGAAGAAATGGAAGAAGTTTATGTAATGAAATCCCAAGTTTTTCAAATTCATTTAGTAAATTAGTTGAGTCTCAAAAATGGTGTCTTTTTGCTTCATAACTTTGAAATTTTCCATTGTTGTTGAAGCCATGCAGTTAGATGAAAAGGGTTAGGGGAAAGGAGGGGAAAAAAAAGAACAAGAATGTGATCCTCGGAGGATCCGATTAATGAAGAGGTTGCTTTTTCTTTCAAGGAAAAGGAAAAGAAAAAGGAAAAAAAGAATTGACTCTTTAAAATTAACAAAGAGAACCCAATTCCAACAATTGTAAGCAGAGTATATATGCTGATTTTTTAAATCTTCAAATTCAC